TCTATCTGTTCGTGTGTAAACGTCAAAACGGCTGAGCCGAAACTTTTAGGGGACCTTACGTGACCCCAGAGAAGGTTTACGGATTTTCAATTTTCGAAAATTTGCCACTAGCAAAATTCAATTTTTGAAAAGAATGAAAATCCATAATATTTTTTTTATAAAATTCGCGAACTTTTTTTGTTTTGTTTTAAAATGAAAATAGAAAATGTTCATAATTGAAATAGAAGCCGGACGCGAAGCGCCCTAAAAGCCTAGTATATACATATATATATATATGAGGATAAATATAATTAAGATATGTATACATATATAGATATTTATGTCCAAGGAACAATATATAATGAAAATATAGAAACAAATATTTGTTTAAGCCCTACAATATTTACACAAACTTCATTGTTCTGATAACTTATGTTATTTTTAATTTGCTTCCATTTTCTTTTAATTTAGCACTTTTTTTACCTCAACAGAAAAGGAAATAAGTGAGGACAAGGGGGGCAACATGTGAAAAAAATGAGGAAGGTTTGGGAGGGCGGTGGGGGGGGTCCTTCCCTGGCTTAAATTATTAATACGCCGCGGATAGTATTAGGGTTAAATGAAATATAGAAATGAAATATTTACAAATTTTTAATTTTGTCAATTTTATATTCTGTCAACTCTGTTTCTCACGGCTGTGCTGTAGTTTATTCACGGTTTATTTGCTAATTAATTATTCACCATAATTATCTTCTATCTGATAATAATTACACACGAAACTTAACGGGCTCACTTCCGTTGCAAAAATCCAGTTTCTCGTTAACAAAAAAATCACAAAATATAAAGTTGATTTAGTGGTTTTTGAAAATGTAAGCAGTGCTGTAAAGGAATTGGTTTTGTAACATGTTAGCAGTGATTTAAAGGAACTGGTTTTGTAACATGTCAGCAGTGCTGTAAAGGAACTGGTTTTGTAACATGTCAGCAGTGCTGTTAAGGAACTCAAACTATAAACCTTTAAAATACTTTTAGTTCGTAGTTGGGTCGTTTTTGCTACATTTCTTTTAGGGTCAAAATTTGACCTATTGTAGAAAAATATTTTTTTCTAAATTTTGTATTTCAAAGATTTTTTTTACTAAACTATGCCAAATTTCAAAACTTAAAGAAGAAATATTCAAAAAACGACCAATGAACAATCCAAAACCGATGCAAAAATCGGACGCGTTTTTTAGATCGTTTAATAAAAGTTTAATAAAAGCAAGCTTTTACATATTACAGTTTTAAAATCTTGGAAGTTATTTAAATAAAAAAAAATACTTTTTGATTTTCTGCCCCCTCCTCCTCCTCCTACCATACAGTGATAACAGACTCATTTAAGTACTTGAGTATTGCTTTAATGTCTTCTTCATTTTCCGTTGTTTTCGGGTTATCACTGTATTTACATTGTTTTAATAGATATTCTTATTGTATTCTTATTCTTTCTGAAATATGATATATTAACAGTGCAGTTACTAAGTATTCTAGAAACCCTGTAGTATGGGGGAATGGGAGGAAGGGGGGGA